ACCGGCATTTCCTGTTTTTATTTCAGATTTCCAGCATCTACTGTATTTTGTAAGGGTGGCCTGTTTGTTTCACAGGTGGTGGGAAGGATAGGAGCTTGCTGAAAATGGGACCTGGGAATGGGTAGTAAAAGTGATTCGATGGATGCCTGCAGGGAGGTTGACGAAGGCGAGATTGTTCATGAGTGAACCTAGCCTAATGCTTACAACCCAGCCAAACTTGGGCATCTAATACTGTGACGATGCTGTGACTTTAAGAGGTGTGTTTTGTCCTGGTTTTTTTTTATAGAGAGAGAGATTGGGGGATGGACACTGAGTAGTCTTTGAGAAGGTAAATAACTTGTCAGGCCTTGGAGATTTTTAAAGTTGGAACAATAGAAGCTGCCTGAGTGGGTGTGGTCAAGCACTCACAGATCCAGAATTTTTAGTTAGCTTTCAGCATTCGTTGCTGGGGTCTAAGCAGGGTTCGAAGACAGTGAATCTCTCCCAGCTGCTACACTCCCACTTTCTCTCAGAATCGTCTTTTGATGTTCTTTCTTCCTGGATTAGAGAACTGCATGTGAGAGAATCTGTTTTCTGATTTTGCCTTTTTGCCAAGGGTGTGTTTATGGAATGTTATTATATTGGAACAGTTAATTAATAATAGTTACCGTATCTATTATTCTGTTAAATTTCCCAATAGAATCAAGTTATTCGAAGTTCTTCTTCTTTTGGTGTATAATAACCATAGTATTTAAATAAATGGTGTTTGCCTTAATGTTAAGTAGTTTGACCAATTGAATTGCACCTGGAACACAGCACATCACACTTACCTTTAAAATAAGAAAAAGTTAGGGTCTTGGCTACCTTCTTTCTATATTTTGAGGGGGTATGATCTGGTCCATAATAATACCAACACCTATTTTGTACCTTGGAGACAATAAGGACTGTAGATGCTGGAAGCCAGAGTCTATGGGTGTGAGGCTGAAGGGGCGCGGCGGGTAAGGCGGTGTCGGGGGAGCGGGAGGGTCAGTGTTTCGGGCCGGGGCCCTTCTCCAGGGCTGGGGAGGGAGAGGGGAACCCAGGGGGGGGTGGGGGGGGGGGGGGGGGGTGGTGCTGATTGGTGGATGCAGGTGGAGTGTTTGGAGGGTTGTTATGGTTGGTCTGTGGGAAGGGTGGGGCAGGTGGGTGGGTGGACGTGGTGTGACGGGTCGGGGGGGGGGGGGGGGGCAGGGCTGGACGTGGGGTGGGGCTGGGAGTGGGGGTATTTTGGGGCTGGTGGGGTCAATGTCAGGGCCATTGGGCTGTGCGCTCTCAGGGTGAGGTGTTGGGTGTTGTTCCTCTGGTTTGCGTCTGGCCTCACTCTGGCGATGGGGGGGGAACTGAGGTTGGATGTGTTGTCGGGGGAGTTCAAATGGATGGCAACCGCAAGAGGTGCAACTCCTGACCCCACCTCCCCCTAAACCCACCTCTGTCCTAGATTTCCAGATCCATGCAGAAATTAACCTGCACTTCATCCAAACTGATCCATTGCATCTGTTGCTTCCGATGTGGTCTTCTCTATATCAGGGAGTGAAACGCAGATTTGGTGACCGATTCGTGGATCATCTGCACTCTGCACACAACAACCAAACTGACCTTCCGGTTGCCATCCATTTTGGTTCCCCCGTCCCACTCCCCTGGCAACGTATCTGGCCTCGGCCTCCTCCACTGTAGGTGTGGGGCCCGGCGTGGACTGAGAGAGCGGCACCTGGTGTTTCATCTTGGGAGCTTAGAGCCCAGTGGTCTCGGCATTGACTTCGCTGGCTTCAGGATCCTTCCACCCCCACGCCTTGTTCCGTGTCTGGCCCTCCCCCCTCCTCCCTGGCCTGGCCCTAGTCTGTCCATCTTCCTGTTTGCCCTTCCGGTCTGGCTTTCCCATGAACCAATCGCTGTGGCCCCCTGCCTGCGTCCGCCTTCGCCGTCTCTCCTGCCCTACCCCAGCCCCAGCCCCAGCCCCACCCCCCCCCTCTGTTTGTTTCTGGGCTCCCCTCCCCCTCCTCAGTCCTGGTGGGGGTATTTGGCCTGAGGCATTGACTTTCCTGCTCCTCTGGTGCTGTCTGGCCTGCTGTGCTTTTCCAGCCTCACACCTGTAGACCCTATTTTGTTCCAATGTTCTCTCCCTTATCCTGGGTCACAGTAGATGGCTGTAATGGCCAGTGTAATTGAGGATGAATGATTCTGCATTTCTTCACTCTGCAGTGCCCCTTATTGCAACTGAAGTTGCAGCTTTAAGTAGACGGATAATCTCCAAACAATATTATGTTTTGTCTGAACAGCCTGCAAAGAGACATCGGCAAATTTCTGTGGTCTTTTATAGACCGATAGACATGGCTTTTAGGAGTCTGAGTCTATATACAAGAATCCCCGAACCAAGCTACTGAGATAATGTAAATTTTTTGTACTATCTCTGTTTAGTAATTCTCAAAGTGGGATCCTCCAGCCACTGCTGCTCCTGGAGGGTCCCATGGGCTAGTCTTTGTGCGCAATGCCACAGCTGACCCACACACGTAGGATTAGGCTGGAGCCCTTAATGCTGCCTCTCCTACATGCAGTGTGCCAACATTCCAAACACAACAACTCTGTTGTACAAGCAATGTTTATATTGCTGTTCCGGTTGGGTGATGGTGTAGCACTAATGTCACTAAACTCGTAAACTAGAGGCCAATGTTCTGTAGACGTTGAGTTCAAATCCTAGCACAGCTCGGTGATTTAAGTTCAATCAATTTACAGTATAGAATTGAAAGCTAGTCTTGGTCACGGTTACTGCAGTGTTGTAAAAACCCATCAGGGAAAGAAATCTGCCGTGCTCACGTGGCCTGGCCAGGACAGAGACCTAGAGGTACAGGTTCATAGTTCCCTGAAAGTGGAATCGCAGGTAGACAGGGTGATGAAGGAGGCTTTTGGTACGCTTGCCTTCATTGGTCAGTGCCTTGAGTATAGGAGTTGGGAGGTCATGTTGTGGCTGTACAGGGCATTGGTTAGGTCACTTTTGGAATACTGCAGTCAGTTCTGGCTTCCTTGCTATCGGAAGGATGTTGTTAAATGTGAAAGAGTGCAGAAAAGATTTACAGGGATGTTTCCAGGGTTGGAGGGTTTGAGCTATCAGGAGAGGCTGAATAGGCTGGGCTATTTCCCCTGCAGCGTCAGAGGCTGAGGGTTGACCTTATAGAGATTTATAAAATCATGAGGGGCATGGATAGGGTAAATAGTCAAGGTCTTTTCCCCAGGGCAAGGGAGTCCCAAACTCGTAGGCATAGGTTTAAGGTGAGAGAAGGGAAAGATTTAAAAGGGATATAAGGGGCAATTTTTTCACACAGAGGGTGGTGTGTGTATGCAATGAGCTGCCAGAGGAAGTGGTGGAGGCTGGTACAATTACAACATTTAAAAGGCACCAGGATGGTACATGAATAGGAAGGGTTTAGAGGGTTGTGGGCCAAATGCTGGCAAATGGGACTTGTTTTATTTAGGATATTTGGAAGGCATGGATGGGTTGGACTGAAGGGTCTGTTTCTGTACTGTACAGCTCTATGACTAAATGGGGCTAAATTAATTTAGGATACCTGGTCAGCATGGATGAGTTGGACCAAAGGGTCTACTTCCATGCTGTACATCTCTATGATTCATAGAGTCATACCGATATGCAGCATCGAAACAGACCCTTCAGTCCACTTGTTCTTGCTGACCTATTTACAAGAGAAGGGGCCGATCAGATGTCAGTTTGGCCTAAACATGAATCCAAATTTTTTAATGTAAATTTGAGTTGTCTTCCTATACATTATTTAAAAACAATTAAAAATTATGATTATGGTCCTTGCAGACACGACCACTGCATCACAAAAGCCCCTCTAAGAAAATGGTAGACTGGCACTGGAGGTAGTCCAGAAAAAGTTCACTAGGCTAATCCCGGGTATGGAGGAACTGTTTGATGAGGAGAGATTGAGTAGTTTTGGCTTCTGCTCATTCCGGTTTAGAATAACGAGAGGCGACCTTATTGAAACATAGACTCTTAGAGATTTTGTTTCCCCTTGTGGGAGAGTCTAGGTCCAGCAGGGCAAAATCTCAGATGGAAGAAGGAAAAGTAGAAATTGCTGGAAAAGCTTAGCAGGTTTAGCAGCATCTGTGGAAAAGAAATCAGGGTTCACATTTCAGGTTGAGTGACCCTTCCTCAGGTGGACGGGTCACACCATTTAAGGTGGAGATGGGCAGAACTTTCCATTCTCTCAGAGGGTGATAAATGTGGTAACTGCTGGGAGGGGTCTTGTAAAGTTTGGGGAGTTGAGTTATATTCAAGGCTGACACTTATAATCCGGATGGGAATGAAAGATTGTGGACGTGAGGGGTTAAAACTTGGTTAGAGACAAAAAAAACTGCAGATGCTGGAATCCAAGGTAAACAAACAGGAGGCTGGAAGAACACAGGATTGAAGAGGGGTTATACCCAAAACATTGACTGCTCCTTTCCTCCAGATGCTGCCAGGCTTGCTGTGTTCTTCCACCTGCTGTTGTTCTACCTCTGAGGGGATTAAAGCAGAGAGGTAGAGTTGAGGATGATCAGGTCAGCCATGATGTCATTGGATGGCAGAACAGACTCGATGGACCGCATGGACTAACTTATGCTAATACATTGCGTAATACGTCCCATGGTCTCTCCTACCAGGTGTGTATACGAGTGACAAGACCAGTCCCTTGGTCCATCCATTAACCCTCCATCCAGGACACTCTTAGGTACTACCTTTGCAAATGGCAGTTACTGGGGGCGCGCGCGCCCGAAAAAAAAGGCGCGAATTCCGCAGGAGGTTGGGAGGGTGGGGGAGGGGGGAGACTCTAGTGAACGGAGTTCGCCGGCGGGACTGTTGTTTTGCCTGAGAGCGCATGCGCCGCAAGGGGCAAACGCCGCCCAGAAGACTACAGCCCCCGGCGAACCTTGCGCGTGGGGAACGCGAAGGCGCATGCGCTTGCGTCTGGATCACGCGTCGGACGGGGAGGCGGGGCCGAAACGGGTTGCAGCGCAGGCGCACAGGCTGGTTTACCGTAGAGTCGGTTGGTGTTCGTTGTCAACTGGGAGTCCGGACTGAGGCGGCAGTCGCGGTGCCGGGTGTAAACAGGGGCCTTGGGTCCGGGCGGCCCAGGTCTGCACCCGTGAGTACATTTTTTAAAAAAAATATAGTTTGGTGGTATTGGGGCCCAGGTTGGATATGAACCTGTTGGTGTGAGGTAGGGCTGGAAGTGACAGTCGACTCTCAGGAAAACCCACCCAACTTCTTGGCCAGAGACAGCAAGGACTGCGTATACTGGAGTCAGAGACAACACTGCACGGAGCTTCAGAGGAACTGTGAAGTTGACGTTTCGGGTCGGGACCCTTCAGAAATGGGGAGGGGGAATGGAGCTGGTTCCTCTTTCCAACCCCCTCCTCCCCCATCACCACCATCACTGTAGCCTGGGCCTTGAGGTCTATGATATTGAGGGGTATAGACATAAAGAAACTTTTCCCCTTTGCAGAGGGGGCGTAAACTTAAGGTAAAGTCCAGGTGATTTCGAGGGCATTTGAGAAAGAGGTTTATCATCCTTTCTGGGTGGTTGTCTTCAATCTACTGCCAGAAAGGCGGGTACCATTGCAAACTTTAAGAAGTACTTAAGTCATCACTTCAAGTGAGATAGCACACAAGGCTATGGGCCAGTTGCTGGGAAGTGACACTCCCAGAAGCTAGGTACTTGAAAAACACCTGAAGAAGGGTCCTGACCTGAATCGTCAGCTTTCCTGCTTCTGAAATGCTGCCTGGCCTGCTGCGTTCCTCCAGCTCCACACTGTTTTATCTCAGACTCCAGCATTGGCAGTTCTTACTATCTCTCAGCAAGTTTCATGTTTATTTAATGCCTCAGGTCATTAGTTGAGTGAAATCATTCAGCAATGTCACTTCCTCTGTATTTCTGTACTTATCTCTCTTCTCCTTTTCTGGTTAATGTGCTGGTTTATCCCTGAAGAAGGGCATGAGTCAGATGCAGTCTTTCCTGCTGGTTTCAGATCTGCAGTATCTCTTTGCTTCTCATGTAAAAACTATTCAGCCTGGTTCCTGAGGCAGGAATGAAGACAGCCAAATAAAAGCAGTGAATTGGAGGCTTTTTTTTTTACACAAGGGGTTGCTTGGATAGGCATGTCCTTCCACAAACAGCTGTGAGAGCAGATGTGTTCAGTTTTTAAAAGTGAATAAATATTTGAAAAATAAAAATTTCACCACTTGTGTGCAAAGGGCAGGGTAATTGGACCAATTAGATTACCATGTTGAATGACTTAATATTCTGTCAAATTCTCTTTTAAACAGTAATTTGCAGTTATGTTGTGCATTTTGTGACTTTTTGTGCAGTATAGATTAATTTATGAAATGTGATGATTTGTTGGTCTGTGGCTGAATGAGCTAGCAAACTTACCGAACATTGCCCTACAAACTAGGGGAGGCAATGAACAAATGGGATTATCACCTAGATGGTTAAACCAGGGACCTGGGTTTGAATCCTGCCATGGCGAGTGGCAGTATTTGAATTCAATTACTCTTAATTTGAGATTTTTAATGTTGACTAGAAATCCATTATTTATTGTTGGGAGAAAAACCCATCTGGTTCACCAATGTCCTTTAGGGAGGGAAATCTGCCATCCTTGGTCTGGCCTACATGTGACTCCAGACTCTCAGCAATCTGGGTGACTCTTAACTGCATTCTGGGCAATTAGTGATGGCCAATAAATGCAGGCTTGGCCAGTGACGCCCTAATCCTGTGAATGTATAAAACAAAACTGAAGCAACTTACATTGGTTCATTAATTTTGTTGATTTGAGGTAGTAGCATAGATCATAGGAAATCTAAATGATTGTCTTCTGGTAATGGAACGGTAACTTTGATATCCACCTCAATTGATCAGTTTTTAATTCTTTCATTTTAGAAAATGGAAATCTCTAAGCTTTGTTTGCCTCACTTGCAGAGTTTATGATTAGCCCACCTCTTAGAATGCAGAGGGACACAAGTTGGTGATATGCAGCATCCACAGGTAAATAAGTTTATACTGAGGCACTGCATTGTAGATGGATTGTGTCGCATCCCTGGCCTGTTCTGAACCTGTTTAGTAAGGGCTACTCTTGCCATATGGTAATTAAAAGAATGCCCTTCAAAAACTGGATTTTATTGACAAGGAACTTATCAGTGACCTCCCATGTTTCCAATTCCTCGATCTGAAGGATGCCTGCTGGCAGACCTTACTTAGGAAGGTTGCTTCATTTAGGGGAATCAAGTTGAAGGTGGGCAGTAGGTACGTTGAACAGGTCATCATGGAATGGGTAAGTGAGGTGCAACCTGGATGGTTTTAGCCAGCTTGTGCGTTTTCGTAGGCAGCTGTTTGGGGCAGGAAGCCAGTTGAGGGGTGAGGAACAAAGGGTTTTAATGTTCATTGTGGCATTCAGTTGCACTTCAACAAGATGTGTTCGTGACCTTTTCCAGATGGGTGCACAGTACTCTGCAGTGGAGTACAGTAGCACAAATGCTGAGGTCAAGTGTGGTGTAACGGCAGTTCCTTGTATAGATGTATCAACTTTGATTCACAGATTGTTTCTGGTTTTGATCTTTTCTATGTTTTCTTCCAATGCTCTGAAATGTGCAAGGTCCTAACTCAAGTTACTTCAAATCATGTTAGCCTGGGATATTGCTTTAGTCTCTGACCATCCCTGTAGATATAATTTGCTTTGGCACAGGCGTTTTGAAGGTGGAACGTACTGGATATGATTTTGGAGGTATTCTATGTGTGACAGTGTGCTGTAGTAGTCTGTCCACACTGTAAAGTCTTTGATTAGGATCTAGTCTGGAATATAGAAGGATAGAGCTTGTCTGGTCCCTCTGCAGTGCCTCATTTACATCCTTCCTTAAATGACATCAATACTGGACACAGTACTTAAAGGGGCAACTTTTCGCACATAGGATGATGTGTGTATAGAATGAGCTGCCAGAGGAGTTGGTGGAGGCTGGTACAATTACAACATTTGAAAGGCATCTGGATGGGTATATGAATAGGAAGGGTTTGGAGGGATATGGGCCAAATACTGGGTAAATGGCAGTAGATTAATTTGGGATATCTGGTTCGCATGGACGAGTTGGACTGGAGGGTCTGTTTCTGTGCTGTACATTTCTATGACTGGTAGCTCACATGTCATCAGCATAGATGAACTAGCGAGATGTGTTACAAAAAGAACATCATCAGATGAAGAGTCACCAGGTCCAATGTTAACTCTGCTTTCTTCCCATGAATGCTGCTAGACCTTCTCAGTTTCTCTAGCAATTACTGTTTTGGTTTCCGATCTCCAGCTCCAGGGTTGGGACTAGCGCTGAGCTTTGTGGTAGGGGTTAGTAAGATAATGCTTTTATCATCTTGTCTGAAGGATGATGTATCTTAACATAAAAGCTCTGGTTTTAGGACAGAGCTGGAAACGCTGAATGGCACCTAAGGTAAAATTTTAGGTAAAACAGATGGAGCTTCCACTCGAATATTGACCTGTGTTTTACTTCAGATGGTGGTTGGCATGTGTAATTAACATTTGCAGCTTTTTCTTTTTGCTTTTCAAATCTGTCCCAATTCTTCAGGTGTTGCACACCTAACATTTCTCAGAAATTTATGAATCCCCACCAATTCTCCGTGGTTGTGAGGATTTATATGGTTTTGTTGGCATTGGGCTAACTCATTCTGAATCTCCCCTACCCGGAAAAATGTTGATCTAATGGTCTGCAGTACACTTTTTGCCTTTTAATGAGGTGTTACAAAGAAAACTCAAACGTAGAATTAACTGTTTTTCGGAGCAGGCTCCCTCGTTTCTCATGGAAAATGTCAATGCTTTTATTTTTAAGTTGAAGTGAACATAGTGAGAGTTCAACATCCTGGCAATTAGAAGCACTTAAGCAACCGCATTACCGTTCTGCTCGACACAATGTGTTTGAGTGGTGCAACTTTGTCTGTTTGTTCGGTGCTTAGTTTGCATTAGTCTGTGATTCTGCTGTGATAAGTAATGGCCTGATGATGCGAACATAATAACTCCACTTGGCTCAGCGTCAGATCCCTGAATGCTGTCAATTATTGTCTCTAGATGTGATGTTGCCAGGTCCACCCTTCCTTAACTTAGACTTTAACCTACCTGGAGGACATTGTAAGGGGAAGGCTGGCAGATATAAGGCACTTTGGCATTGTTCTTTCTCCTGTACTGCCCCAGAGCCTAAAGATTAATCAGACTTTTTCTTATCCTCTGGCTTGGATTGTTGTTAATAGTGCCCCAGCCTTGGGAAATTACATGTGATGCTTGGTGTTCATTTCCTTTGCTTGTCTTCCTTGTTTTTCATTAATTTTCATTATGCAGCAGCCATAAAGTTCCCCTACAGGCTGTGCACTCATTGACCCCTCTAAATTACCTCAATTTGTTTTTAAAGGGAGTGTCCTCTTAAGAAAACTGCCTGTGCTCTTGTGCATGTGGTGGGGGTGGAGTGAAATTAAAGGAATTGTTGGTTGCTGGGCTGGTAATTCAGAGTCCTGTATTAATGATCCAGGCAGGGCAGAACCTACCCTAGCATCTGAGTAGTTTAAATTCAGTTAATTTTCCTCAATCTGAAACAGCCCATAAGTGTATGCAGCAAAACTGGATAACATCCAAGCTTGGCTGATAACTAGCAAGTAACACTCTCTCTAGCCAATAGCCAAGCAATGACCATTTCCAGCAAAAGTGAATCTAACCATCTCCACTTAACATTCAGTGGTATTACTGGTTTTGCTACATAGTTGAATCCCCTGCTGTCAACATCCTGGAGTTACCATAGATCAGAAATTGAATCGGACCAACCATATAAAGACCGTGGCAACAAGAGCAGGTCAGAGGCTGGGAATTCTGCAGTGCGTAACTCACCTCTTGTCTCCCAAACGTGTCCACCATCTACAAGGTACAAGTCAGGAGTGCACTGGAGTACTGAGTGCTTTTGGACCTGCACCAAGGAAACAGCAGTATGCATGATTGGCACCCCAATTTGAGCATTCACTTGCTTCAATGACTCAGTGATAGCAGTGAGCACCATGTACAAGATCTGTCTAACCCAGGCTGCTTTGACAGCGCCTTCCAAACCTGTAGAAGTACAAGGGCAGCAGAGATCTTCAAACCCCACTGCCTGCAAATTTTCCTCCAAACCATGTGCCATCCTAACTTATTGTCATTCCTTCACTTCCCCATGGAACTCCAGTTTCTCTCAGCACTGTGGATGCACAGTACCTACGTTCCAAGGACCACAACAGTTTAAGAAGCCAGTTCACCATCACCATCTCAAAGACAGTTGGCAATGGTCAATAAACACTGACCTAACCAGTAATGCCCACATCAAGGAATTAATGAAAATAAAAGGAAAATCTAAATTTTAAATAGGAATGCATATTCATAACGATCACCGTCCAACTGGTGGATTTTTGCTTGAACCCACTTGGTTCTCTAACGTTCTTTTACAGCCTCCAGTCCATGATTGCTCTCAGAAATGGCTGAACAAGTCTCTCATTTGTACTAGAATGGGAGATTAATGCTTGCTTAGCCAGCAATATCACAACCCATGAGTGAATTATCAAAACCACCACCAGAGGATTAAACACATTTTTTTAATCATCACAGTAGACCATTTGGTTCATAGTGAGAGATTTGGAAATTGCTGATGCACCCAGCATGACTGGGATTAGCTGAGCAGCCCTAAGCTTTGCTTATTCATAGTTCTGGAGGCTGACATGTTTGTTTGGAGAGGGGGAATGGAGTTTGGTGGCTTGGAACCTCAACATAACAGAATCCCTCAAAGCTGCTGAAGGGAATTGCAGGGAGGAATTGTGCAGATTCCTTCAATTATGGCATAACACAAAAATGTTGTCCTGTGCCTGGGTGGCCAACGAATTATGAGATGAGACTTCAGTTGAATAAAAACATGATTCTGTGGATGTTGGAGATTTGAAATAACGAAGTACTAAAACTCAGCAAGTCTGATGGCAATTTTGGGGAGAGAAAGTGTTAATGAGTCTAATATGATTCTTTGGTGCAAAATCTCAACTTGGTTACGTGACGCTTTCTGATAGATGATCACCACAGGCTGTTGTCATTTCCACATCAAGATTTTTTTATCCCTTGATTGCTCAAGTCTAATCTCTTACACCTTACTGCCTTTACGTCTCTAATGTTTGTGATCTGTTTTTTTCCCAAAGGTCCAATGCTGTCTATAGAATATTACTTAGATGAGAGAAGAATGTTGCAAATTACCACTTATAAAGCAGTTATGAATTGTTTCAATGCTGTATTACTACTTTGACCTGTTGTGATGGGAATGTCTGAGCCATTCTGCACGGTGCCACCAATATGATGAATTCTGAGATGATCTCTACTTTTTTTGTTTCTCTGCCAAGTAGAGCCAACTGTGAGGGATGTTTGTAGAAGCTTGTAGTTGCTTTCTAGTGTGTTGCATAGTCGTCTTACACTTGACTGGAGCAAGCAGAGGAGTTGTCTTGATTGCCCCGGGAGAATTAGGCTTTAGTCCTTTCAAAGTGTTATGCTGTAAGAACTCTCTGCCTGTACACCCAACCTATCTCCATTCAGGTGCACTGTTGTTACCTTTCTCCCTCACTCAAACATTCAACATAGGGGTAGAAGTAGGCCATTTTCCCTCATTCGATAAGGTCTGTATTTTTAGAATTCTACATTCCCTTCTCCAACTGATGATCTTTGATTCCCTTGCCAAACAAGAATTTATCTACCACTGCGTTAAAAATATTCAATAAAGCTGCATCCACTACCTTCTGAGGCAGTCTGTTTCATGGGTGCACAACCCTCAGAGGGAAACAATATTATCATCTCTATCCTGAAAGGGCAGCCTCAAATTTTAAATCAATGAGCCCTAGTCCTGCATTCTCTTCCTCCTCCTCCTCCTCCTCCTCTCCCCACCCCCCGGGGGAAACTTTGTTCCACCTCTATCTTGTCAAGACCATTCAGACCATTGTGCATTTCAATAAAGTCTAACCACCCCATACTCTTCTAAATTCCAGTGGAAAGTAAGATTATGGCATTGAGATAGGGGATCAGCCATGATCGGATTGAATGACAGAGCAGGCTCGAATGGCCTACTGCTCATTTCTATGAAACAAGCCCAACTGTCCAACCCACTCTCAAGAACTTGTATATCTTGAATGTTGCAGCCTTGCATGTTAAACCTGTGCTTTGATCATGACAGAGAGCAGTTGGCAAAGGAGCTTTCTCGTGTCCATGTAGGAAGAAGGGAGGGACACTAGTTCTGTTGAAGTTTATTTTACTCCCTGCAATGAAGTAAAGCATTGCAACCCAGTTGATCAGGTTCTTTATAGCCGAACATGGAGCAGTAGCTCTGGGAACCGTAATTGAAGGGAACTAACTTGGCAGCGTAGTAATTTGCATCATCATAGTGAAGTAGGTTAGCTTAAATTTGCTTTGAGAGTCAGGAATCCAAAGCCACCATCTTCCTACAGTAGCCAAAGAGGGACTGAAACCTTCATTTTAATGCTGTTGTGTTTCTGATAGATTTCTTTCTGATTCAGATGGATCCAAGTGAGCCGAGAAATTTGCTGGAAGTGCCTGGAGGTTCCCAGCGGGGGAGTGTATCCTCATCTGTGACTAGATGTAAGTGTGTTGTGATGTTCTCTTTAAACCAGTTTCAGCTGTGTGGTGTGCTATGCCAGAGCACATGCAAAAGACCTTTCATCAAAAGTAATGCCTCTACCAGGTATGTCAAACTGTACCTGTAGATGCTGAAAAGTGCATGCTTTGCCCTCCAGTTTGCACTGAGCCAGCTGCTTCAAGTAAGACTGAGCTGTAGCCGCCAGTATTGTTTTGCATGTTAGCCACAAAAGAATTGGATCATTCATGACCTTACTGAATGGTGGAGCAGGCTGTGAAAGGCTAGGTGGCCTACTGTTTGTATTCCTGTTTGTATGTAGATAGGAATATCTATCAGTGATTGGATTCCCTTCTGTTATCTGGTGTAAGAGGGTTAGATTGAGGTTGGTTGTATTGCCATTCCACTGACACTTTGCCTGCTATCATGTGTAAAATTGCCACTAGGACCAAGGCACCAGTATAGATCCTGGCAGACATCAGTGCTGTCAGAAGACCTGAGGAGAGCAAGCAATCTAGTTGTCCTAGCTGCATTGTCACCCAAAAGAAAACCTGTTGCAAATCAAAAATTGATTCATTTTGCATATGGCAGATGAGAGAATAAATGGGACTATAGTGTGAGGAGGTCAGTACAATATATTCAGATCCATAACCATAGTTTTATTAGCCACAAACTTTTAAAACAAAAATCCAGAAGATTTGCCTTGAATAAATGTTTGATTCTCAGTCAAGATTCTCCCTTTTTCTTTCGGTGTGATAAACTGTTTGCTTGTTTCTCACCTAAATGAATGTGTTCTTCAGTTAACTTAATTTTTTTCTGGCCCCTTTTCTTCCGAAGACCCAGAGGTACTGGTTTACCTGGTGAATGACTCTGTTATTCAGATTTCTGTGGAGAGTCTGACAGCCCTTACAGCAGGGGAGCTTGCCAGAACTGTTCGGGAAGCACTACAGTTGCCTGATCAGGCTCAAGAGATTTTCTCGTTGTGGCTGGTTTCGCCTTTCTTAGGTGAGTGTCTGCAGTCTTTAATGACCCTGTAGATTGGAGAGGGTGTGGTGGGGAGCGTCTCTATTTGTGAGTTAATAAATACATTTGCTGTAAAAGCTGCTAGGAGGGGATTTTAACAAGATAATTAGGGAAAATGCTTTAGTGTAATCTACTACCTTCCAGTAGGTTGGACGACTTGATAACCTGACTTCAAGTTCAGCCCCAGTGATGTCTCTTCTGTCTGCGGGGTAGTCTGGATGCATTAGGTTTTAAACATTCTTTGATCCTGTGACCAGCTTCCGACCAGATACGTTCTGTCGACAAATCTGCCTACCTCAGCCTCAATTTCATCACCCAGCTCTGTCTATCTCAACTCATCTGCCCCTTCAGCTGCCTGGACACTGAGTTAGAATTCCCTCCCTGAACGTCTCATCCTCTCGATTCTTCTTTAAGATGCTCCTTTAAAATCAGCTCTTTGATCAAACATTCAGTTGCCTATTCTAATGTATCTTTGCACATGATCTAGTATAACGTTTTTTATGATGCTCCTATTGTTTCTCCTACCACATTTTATTAACAGTGCCACATGAATGCAAGTTATTTCAGTCCAGGTCTTAAAGAGCAATTCACAAAGCAGTCCCTCTAGTTTGTGACTACAATGATGATCTCCCTCGGGCACCACTGGGTGAGGAAAAGGAAAATTGTTTGGTTGGAGGCAGTGCCATTTCCCTGAGGCTGGGAATGCCAAAGCAGGGGAGGGAGCTTTACCTGACTGGTGTGTATATGCTCTGCTGATATTGGGTGCCTAACTCAGTTTTGTTTTAAAGTATTTTCTCTGATTCCCTGCCTATTTAATTGTGCTGCCTCGTAAGATTTAATGATCTGGATGCAGTCCCCTTCCATTTTTCCTCCTCCTTTACCACCACTGCTTCCTCCCCCCAAGAAAAAACTGCCCTTCAAAATTGATGTTAAGACTCGAAGCCCAGAATTGGCAAACTGCAGTTCCAGCGTGATGCATGTAAACTCTGGGTCTCTTATAGGGAGCACTTAATTCGCTCAGTAGCAATAGGAAGCATCTGCAAGAGGGTATACTTGGTCATTGTGCACAGGTTGTTCTGCGTAGTTCCCTAAGGGTCAGAGGGAAATGGCTGCTGGTGGACTGAGCTCTGTTTGTCAATTTGTATAAACCAGTATAGTGTCCTCTTTTCTGTATTGACCTCCATCTAATATTGAGGATCTCGCAGAGAGACATATAAAAGCACATTTGAGAACGCCACATGTACATTCATGTGTGCCTGCTGTTGCCTTGTCATGGTTTATACTTTGGACTCATCACCACTTCATGAATCCCCAAACTCTGCAAATGATGCAGGGAACAAGAGACCCTTTGGTGTAGAAGGGGGATCATTGCAGTCCCTTTTACTAAACAGTTTTGCTATAGTTTTAGCAATTAATGGCGCCTGCTTAGCCTGGATAGAGAGTCTGTCCTTCATGTCTCAAAAACTACCAAGCATCTGTTATCTCATTATATATCCAAGCTCTTCCAGACCTTTAGCCAGATATAATGACCAAAGTCCATGATTCATCCTTGGGATAAAAAATTAAAAGGAGTCTCTTCATGTTGGATATTCGAGTGCCTCAGCCAATGTTGCTCCCTCACTCGACATCAGCAAAGAAACTCAACAGCTAGGCAGTCATTGAACTGCTGTTCTTGTGGTCGCTGGCACAGAATTTCTGCCATGTGTAGTAGTGACTGTAGTCCTATTTAAAAAAGAAAGTTCATTGTCTGAGTCACTGAGTCATATGAAATGTGATATGTAAATGGAGATATTATTCTAGGGTGAGGGGGAGAGAAAAATGATGGGAAGGCTCCTGTAAGGCCTGATCTGTGTGTAAATACGTTCTGCAGTAAATTTCTTTCGTTATGAACAAGCCTCACATAGAAATCCTGAGGGTGCATTATTTTATGTCCAAATGACTACACCCACAGGCACTTAAATACCATAGATTGTGCTATGCACAATGGCCACAGTGTCTCCCTTTCTTTAGAAATCATGAGACGGACGCCAAAAGGACATTGTCCCAGCCCCCCTCTGTAACAGGAGATCTCGTTTCCCATTATTGTGATGATCACATCGTTGGCTATTAATCTGGTTGAAATGTTCTGATGCATCAATCCATTTGTAAGCAATTCTATACAATCTTAACCCAAAGGAGGATTAGGGGGGAAACTGAGAAGAAAATGTTAAATGTTGTCTGGCAATGTCTTTCACTTAACATTCTACTATTTGGCATGATTTGCTTATTCACAGAGCTGCAACTGAAGCCCAAGCATCATCCCTACAAGGTCAGCCGGCAGTGGCCAGATCTCCTTTACCGATTTACTAAGTGTTCTGTTGATGACATTGTTCATGGTGAGTGTTGCATTGGTTAATAACTTCAAGAATTTTGAGGACCAGGTGTTATGTCTCAATGGGTGGCATGCTGGAAACCAAGCTCCACTACTCGCTTTTTCTTTATTCATTTATGGGATGAGGGTGTCACTGTCTAGGCAGCATTTGTTGCCCATCCCTAATTGCCCAGAGGGCAATTAAGAGTCAACCACATTGCTGTGGGTCTGGAGTCAAATGTAGGCCAGACCAGGTAGGAATGGCAGTTTCCTTCCCTAAAGGACGTTAGTGATCCAGATGGGTTTTTCCGACAATAGATGGATTCATGGTCGTGAGTAGATTCTTAATTCCAGATATTTTATTGGATTCAAATTCCACCATCTGCCAGAGCGGGATTTGAACCTGGGTCTCCAGAATGTTGTCTGTTCTCTGGATTAACAGCCCAGCGATAATACCACTAGGCCATTTCATCGCAAAGGTTAAAGGTATTAATAAAAATACTCAAAAATCTCCAATTTACTTGTCTCTTAGACCAGGTTATGGTCCATCGACATTAACTCTACTGGTTAAAACTCTAACCCGTTTAAAACTCCCCCCGCCACCATCAGTAGTAAATCTTTTGTGTCTGCAAAATCACGAATCACAAATTTGCCTTTCCATACCAAAAAAGAAGTAACACCAAAAATCAACATCTGCCGGAAAAACTAGCATAACCGTGATCATTAACCTAGTTTTAAATGAGCTTTGCACTTGTCAATTTCATCATTCACTGGTACAGAGGAATAACTAACAACAGACATACACAAAAAAGCGTGGACAGAGGGAAAGACTTAAGGCTGTTCAATGGTCCCTATCCTTGGGGTTCACTGAGACGATCCCTTTTGCTCATCATGTTTTGCTGCTCCTCGATCTTCCTTTTCCAGACAGTTTCACCTGCTTGCAGGAGGCAAAAAGTGACTGATTCATACTTATGAAATCTCTGACTTATTGATTAAAAGCTATAACTCGGCTCAACTGATGAAGAGAAAGAAACTAACTTTTGTCAGACTTAAGACATTTTCTTTACTACAAAGAGAAGGATAGCTCATTCTTTTCCAGGGGTCTGATGGCTTCTGACCAAAAGCTATTAGCTCCCTGGGAGCCAATCTCAGCTGTTAGCAGGCAAAAGACCGTTATCATCTAGTTACCAGTCCAGAGAGCAATCGGCTACTTGTTGACTCCCTGTTCCAGCTCATCTGCAACTAACGCACACACGGAGACACACAATTTCGTTCTTTCCCATTTCACTCCACAATCAAAAATACAAACAGACATACTGTCTTTGCACGGGGAATGGCCATCTGGGATGATGTGTCAACCGTTATTGTTCACTGATTCCTCAATCCATCTCTCCCTGGAGTCCGTTGTCTTTTCAGTCCATACGCATAGTGTGCTTACTAATCTTTGAAAGGTGTTTCCATTCAGTTCGTGACTAGTCGAAATGCCTCCAAGTGTTCAGTAAACTGTGACCTGGTTCGCCATATCCTCCACCCCATCTTCTACAATCCTAGGCTATTGAGACCTGTTGCAGCACAGACTAGACACTTAGCATGGAAAGAGAAGCTCGTTTAAAGTGATTAAAGCAGCATCAAAATGGCATGTGGCGATTTTATTCAGAATGCATTGTGTGAGAATAATTGGAACAGAAGAGTAAAGATTTTTGTCTTTTCCCAGCTAGTGTTTCTCCCTGTATGTCAAGATGCACAAACATAGCAAATCCCCGATTTGATTTGTGGCCTGAGCAGTATTAACTGGTCTCATTCAGCGTAACACCTTTCATATTGGCACTTTAATGCTCAGACAGTGAGCTATCTGCTAAAGCTCGTATCTGGAAGTTGCCGTTCTTTTCCCCCAACCACCCACCGATTCTGCACTGCTGCTAGGTATATGGATATTGGCAGAGGATAGTGGTCGCCTCAACCGTGAGCTCTCTCTGTCCCACCTCACATGCCTAATTAGGCTAGATTTCTCCTTGTGCTTGAAAGTGAGGGTCTCCCATTTACGATTGAAATGACAAGTGTTCTTTACTCTGAAGGTTGAGCGTTTGTGTATCTCTTCCTAAGAGGGCTATGGATGCAGGGACATTGAATATTTTTATGGCAAAGTTCGGCCTTGACTAAAGAGGGAAGCCAAGCATATTGGTGTAGGAAGGCAAGTGGAGTCAAGGCTGTAGTCAGATCAGCCGTGACAGCTTGTTGACTGCCAAGGAGGCTCAAGGGGCCAAATGGCAGCTACTCCTAACTGTTTGTGTGGAAAATGCAGCCAGGTGAAAGTACTGTGTTTGTTTCCATTGGTGGTTCAATTGCTCTCTTAATGATATGTCTATGTCTGACAGATGAACCATCATTGCAGTTTCGAAAGAATGTGTTCTTTCCCAAAGGCAAGGAGTTACAAGTGAGTTCATAGTCTCAGTAATGATTTGAAATAGTACATAAACCGTAATGTTCTGTCAGGAACTCCAAATGCTTTACGTATGTGTGTGTGTACTATATAATAAATCGTCCTTCTACTTGCATAAACAGGGAATGCTGGAGAAACTCCGCAAGACTAGCAGCATCTGTGGAGAGAAAGAGTTAACATTTCATGTCAATAAAACCTGAAAGGTTCTAAGGAAAGGTCACTGGACCAAAAATGTTAATTCTGATTTCTCTGCACGGATGTTACCAGACCTGCTGAGCTTTTCAAGCAATCTTTGTTTTTGTAACATTGAGTCCACTGACTTTTCTTCAGAGACTTCGGACTCCTCTTTCTTCTAGTTGTTTGGAAGTGCTGAACTTTAGTCTTGCTACTTTTTTTCCAGCCATCTTCCATTTGCTGGTTCCCCTAGTGTGTGCTGCAGCATATAGGCCTATTTTAGTTTACAACTTATTTAGAACCTATTCTATTGTATACTGAAATGGGTCTGTTTGTGAGTACTGCTAGTATAAGACCACCTGCTACTGTAAAATGACTGAGGCGTAGAGTATATTTCCTGATATTGGAGTTGCGTTAAAACACTGGCAACGAGCTCTTAGAGACGAAGAATGAAATGTATTCAAAGGAAAAGAGCCATCAGTAATAGATTCTGCAGACAGCAGTGATTTCTTTTCAACCAAGTGTCAAATAGCTTTACAATCTGTCCACTAGTAATCCGTGCTGTTCCTGTACTGATTGCTGGTATGATTATTTATCAGTCTGCAGAAATTTTCACAATGTCTTACCCTTCAAAATTATTCCCTTGTTTTGCTGAGTAGTCAATATTTGTTGAAATTTCAGATTGCGGATGAGGGCATTCTCCGATTTTTGTACGAGGAGGCCAAATTTAATATTCTGGAGGGCCGGTACCCTTACGACATGGAGGATTGTCTCAAGCTGGGTGCCCTCACTTGTCGAATTGAGCTTGGTCCCTTTAATCAGGACCAACACAATCTGGCTGTCATCAGGTGAGGCTACTATTGATAACCAAGGAAAAGTATGGACAGATCCTGGCTGACTGAAATGGAAGTATTGCAAGAGATAATGGGTGGACGAGGGAGGTTAAATTCAATATACAGTGACTGACTGTTAAAGTACAAAGACCCAATGTCATTTTGGTTGCCAGTTTCCTTTTCTTTAAGTTATTGAGTGACAAAAATCATGCACAAAAGAAAATTTATCACACCAAAGATGTCTCAGTTCCTGTGCGTGCTTGCATCATGATGCAGTTGCATGATGAATTCTAAAGTATGGAAGTTTGCCACCTTGGTCCATCATGCTATGAGCTATTCACCTCTTTTTTTTTTAAAGAAAAAGTCATCTGGTAGCTTATTACTGTTTGTGGGACTTTGTTGTGTGCAATTTGGTTGTTCTTCCCGTACAGCAGTGAGTAGATTTCAGAAAAAGAAATACTTAACTGGCTGTAAGGTGCTTTGAGATGCCCTGGGGTGTAGAAGTGTTGTATGGTTGCAATCTCGATGATTGATTGTTTTCTCCTATTTCTTTTTAAACTTTTCATTTTAATCTCTCCCTTTCTAAAGCTGCTGTGAATTCCGTGTCCCGATAGGGTAAAGGGGGAAGGTATGATCTTTTGTGTGTCTTTGAGTTACCAACTCACTCAGCAGTGGTATTTCTTCCCTATTTCCTTTATCAAGGACTCTCATCATTTCACAAACCTCACTGATCTATTAAGTTTTGATGTTTTGATCAGAAAGGCTCCAACCTGAGCCATCTTTATTACTTTTGAGCCTTATTTTGAAAATGGTGTCACCACACCGTTCAGCTGAACTGCTTCAAGTGGAAAAATTTAATCCTCTGGTGCTACTGTATGTTGTGCAGTATCACCGGTCATGATTCGATGGCTGAAATAGCTTCTCTAGATGCAGTTGGCTCCTTCAGTGGCCAGATGGGAAAGGTCTAACATTTCAAGCCTAACCCTCCCTCTGCTAGAAAAAAGATGAAGTGATCATGGCCCTGTTGGGAAAATGTGCAGTTACGTTATAGATCCCCAGTTGATGTGGGTATTTTCTCCATTACGGTCGTTTGTGTCTGGAAGTCCTGCACTGAGCAGTTAATGGCAAACCAGGAGACTTGAGCAATGAACAGCCCTATCCAGTTGCAGCACTAACTGGGAGGAGCAAATCCCGTACAAAGCAGGATTAAAACTCAGAAATGGGTTTCTGAGAGTCACTTAGTGAGGCTCATTCAGGTCTCCTAGGTTTGTGGCTGCTGGCAGGTACTACAGCTGGATTGGATGCTTGTGGGATAAGTGCAGTGGGTTGTATCTGGAGCAGGAATCTAGGCTGACCTTTGTAACATCACATTACTGCTGTCTACAGCTCTGTACAACACATGGAAGCGTTTTTGCATTTTGTCTGTGAGTCATCTTATTCATTAGGTACTGCTACCTGAAACATGAGCCAGCTTGGGTTAACCTATTATTGTGAAATGTTTTTCAGGGAGAAACTTGATATGTTTCTTCCCACTCATCTGTGCAAAAAGCACGGTGGGTTCCTGGCAGCATTCCGGCCCCGAGGAGCCAAGCAGCATTGCTACGAAGAGGAGCTCCTGGAGTCCTTCAGGCAGCTGGTGGACGATGCAGCACGTGAGGAGCCAGAGGCCCTGAAACTGCACTACCGAGCGTATCTGGAAAAATGTCATCTGCTACAGTACTATGGGTAAGATGTGGGATTGGGTTGGCCTCCTAATGAGAAGTTGAAGGGTTCTGAGAGATTGCGCACACAATATGTGTGCAACCTTTGTCTGGCCTTTCATACATACATACAAATGTATAAATCAGGGGACTGTACAGACATTCAGTCCTTTGACTCTTGTCCACCATTCAGTAAGATCATGGCTTATCTAATTACAAGTACTGTATGTTTCCACCTACCCTTTGGGAGTTTGACCCACTCCAGGCAGAATCCATATAGTGTGGAAGCAGTCCATTTGGCTAATTGAATGCTCACGGACCCTCCGAGCATCCCTCCCAGCCCTGTAACCCTGCATCTCCCATGGCTAATCCGCTTAGCCTGCACACTCCTGGACACTACGGGCAGTTTAGCATGACCAATCCACCCTAACCTGCACACCTTTGGACTGTGGGAGGAAACCACAGCACCCAGAAGAAACCCTTGCAGACGCTGGGACAATGTGCAAATTCCAAACGGACAGCTGCCCAAGGATGGGATCAAACCCGAGTTCCTGGCACTGTGAGGCAGTAGCGCTAACCACTGAGCCACCATGCCTCCCTTTGTCGTTGTAGCCAGCAACTTCAGTAGAAGAAAGCAGAAAGTGTTTATTAATTTAATGGCCTTAGTTACTGATGTTGCCATCACATAATGCGCAGTGCATTGTGTGCACAAAGTTATGTGTCATCGTGATGTAGCATAAGATTTCTGTTTTGTGTGTGCACAAGACAGTGAGGGGGAAAAAGATCAAGGAATGTGGCAGAGTTATTCAGGTAACAGCCCCATTCCTTGAAGGTTAATTAATTTAGAGCAATCTGGCACTCCAGTCCTGAACATAATCCATTAATTCACTTAAGAATAGTCACAAAATGCTGTAAAAGAATCTCAATGATAGGCAAAGGCCTGTTTAAGCTGTCAAGTTTGTACTTTAAGTACCCTGACTAGCTCCACGTGGTATTCAACTCCATGCCATGCCTACCTACCCATTTTATCCTGAGGAAAGGTTTGCCTCCTGGCATTTAGGCTCTCCTGAGGAAAGTTGAGTAAATTTTTTGGCATTCTCATCTTGAATAGTTGGACTTTCTTCCTTTTATGCTTTTACTTTTGCCTCCCTTAAGTGTCTCATTTAAGTTCTCTCACCTTTTTAAAAAGGTGTCACAGAATTGTGCAATGCCTTAGAAACAAAGAAAATAGGTGCAGGAGTAGGCCATTTGGCCCTTTGAGCCTGTGCCAACATTCAATATGATCATGGCTGATTTTGCAATCTCAGTATCCCATTCCCACTTTCTCTCCATACCCCTTGATCTTTTTAGACACAAGGTCCATGTCCAGCTCCCACTTGAATATATCCAGCGAACTGGTCCTAACAGCCTTCTGTGGTAGAGAATTCAACAGGTTCACAACTCTGAAGAAACTTTTCCTCATCTCAATCCTGAATGGTTTACTCCTTATTCTTAGATTGTAACCCCTAGCTCTGGACTTCCTCAAAATCGGGAACATTCTTCCCACATCCAGCCTGTCCAGTCCCGTCAGGATTTTGTTTCTGAGATTTCCCCCTCATTCTTCTAAATTCCAGTGAATGCAAGCGCAGTCAATTCAGTCTTTCTTCATGTCAGTCCTGCCATCCCAGGAATCAGCCTGGTGAACCTTTGCTGGACTCCCTCCACAGCAAGAATGTCCTTCCTTAGACTAGGAGACCAAACTGCGCACAATACTCAGTGTGGCCTCACCAAGGTCCTGTATAACTGCAGCAAGACATCCTTACTCCGATACTCCAATCCTCTCGATATGCCATTATCTTTCCTCACCGTCTGCTGCATCTGCATGCTAACTTTCAGTGACTGTTCCACCATAGCACCCAAATCTCATTGCACCTCTCTTTTTCCTAAACTGCCTTGCTAGATATCCTTTGACTGAAGGTCCAAAGTGCTGCATTGCGGAAAAATGAACAGAAGTCTAAAAATTCATTTTAATCTACCTTTTTGGATGTGTTATGGCACAATTCTGGGGCAGCTGGGACTCAAAGAACCACCTGGCTCAGAGAGAGAGACAGCACTGCTCACCACAAAACCTGCAGTCTACATACACAGCTCCATCTATGAGCATTTAAGACCTGCCGAAAGCCTTTTGATCACCCGGCTGATTTTTTTTTTCAGAAACTTGGGGAAAAGATATTGATATAATAGAAACTTTATTCACTAGGGCAGAGACATCATTAAAACCAGAGTCAGCATATTCGAGAAAGAAAAATAGTGTTCAAGAAACTCAGATCTGGCATCATTCATGAAGAAAACAGAATTAATGTTCTGAGTCAAATGTGACCACTCTTCAGAACTAAAGAGGAGGAAGTGTAGTTGTTTTTGCTGTTGGAAAAGGTGGTGAGGCAAGTAGAACAAAAGGAAAGGCTAGAGAGAGAGAGATTAAAGATCAAAGGTGTTGCAGAACAAAGAGCAAAGGGAGTGGTGGTTGAAGATAGTCACTGAGGAATGCAATATACTTGTGAAAGTAAGTTATGGTAAACACATCAGACACCAGGAGGGAAATGAAAAACAATTGAAATGTACAAGGTGAAAAAGACAAACTGGAATTTAAGTTGGAGGGAAGAGAAGAACTACTTCAAGGTATGTATTTAGGAGAGACATTATGAAGCACCTTATTTAATGTAAAGCATGATTGTCCCAGACTTGTGTATCTCAATGCAGCAGATGCTTACTCAATTGTAAATTTGAAATTGCATGTTTTCTACGTGAGGATGTTAAGGGATATCGCGGCAGATTGGGTAGATGGAGTTAAGATTCAGATTGGCCATGATCTGATTGAGCCTGCCCCACGATTCAAAGGACTGAATGGCCCAGCTCTTTGACTTGGAGATGATACCTTACAGGGTATCCCCATCTCCTTAAAGCATTTACTTTTGCATTTACCAAAAAACTGGATAAGAGACAGTAACGATGAGTTCCAGCTTTGGCAAAATCTGATAGCTTGATATGCTATGAGGAAGACTCGGTACTGCAGGTCTGATTACTAAGGAAAGTCAGATCTCGTTGCGAGTACCATAGTTTGGAACCTTTGGTGATGCCACGTACCTGTAAGAGAAAATGCTTAGTGATTGACCCACATTTGGATTCCAGGCTATCCGACGTCAATAGTGTTTTTGCCAGAATTGCATTTTCTCAATTCTTGAGTGATCGTCTGCTTTGATGTGGTTTTTCTGTGGTCCCTGTTGTTTCTGATTCCCCATGGTTCTGTGTATACATTGAATTGAAGTCACGTTACAGGGAAATTACATTAGTGATAAAAGGTGTATAAATATATATTTTCGATTTGGATTTCAAACGGTCAGTTTATTTAAACCACAGCAGAAAGTCATTTGGACAGTGACCTAAGTGCACAAGAAAGCATGTGATTGCAGTTGTGTGCCTTGGAGTACCCCTCTAGAATTACAAATAAAATGTTGATGCTGTTGAGTTGATGACAGGCAGAGTAAACCCATCTAGTTTTGATATCAGAATCAAAGGTGCAGCGTTTTAGTTCAGAAGAACCCAGAAATTTGGTTCAGAAGGCAGAGTAGCTTCTGCTAGCAGGGGCAGTCAAGGCAGTTTAGGGTAATCGGTCACCTCAGCTGAAATGGTTTCTAATCTGTGAAACTTCCAAACTGGGAGAGTTTGGATAGAAATCTCCCATGTTATTAGAACTGTGTGTTTAGGTCATCAGAATTGTGAAAGGTTTATGCTAGCTGGAAAGGAATTGTCAAATTATGTCCATGGTTCAGCAAAAAGAAAGTGGGAAAAGTCAGTTAAGTAGAAGTTGTTTATAAATGCTGAAGTAGGAGTGATCTTGCTCTGGGATCAAGTCTCTAACAGACTCTGCTGTGAGTCAGATTGAAATTTTGTTTTGATGTTGGTGATAAGCTCTTTAAAGTATGGCTTTGTTGATATCTTTTGCATAGTAAACTTCTGTTGTAAAAGGTCATCTGTAGCCTTGTGTAAATGTATTTGTGAATAACTACACAATTGCAGAAAATTGAAACCATGATCTATTAAGCCAAATTTTGAGATGGAATCTGACTTGTCTGCTATTAGCATGTGCTGGGATCATAAAACAGTAATCAGCCATTTTACGCAATGATCTGATACATTGGTGTTTATGTTCCCATCAGCAACTATATCAGCATAATCATCTTCTACTTCCTTCTGTTTTTATCTGGCATTCTCCCTTAAATGCATCTGTGTCTTTGCTTCAACTCTTTGGTGGTAAGTTCTATTCTGGGGTTTTAAAAAAAAGCTTCTCCTGAATTCCCTATTGGATTTAAGTGATTATTTTATTTGGAGCCCTTGATTTTCTACTTTACGACAAGTAGAAATAGCTTCTATGTTTGCTGTTCTAAAACCTCTCAAGTTTTAACAGTCACCCATCCACTTTTAAGAGAATTCTGAACTTGCAATTGTTGTGCCTGTTTGTTATATGCTGTTGGTTCTGGTATCATCCTTCCTTCACATTTTGTCTCTTGTGGTTTCAGCTCTGCAATGTTCTCTGGGGAGATTGATAAACCAGTGCAGAGCTTTCTGCATCGGAATGGGCGGAAACTGGTAACCATTGCAATCAGTTTGGATGGTGTGTCTGTCATGGACAGTAAGGAAAAGGTAATACTTTTTGTTCCTTAAGCAGTCTTAATTGTCTGCCTGCTGGTCTGGTGTTCTCTGAAATGATCTGCTTCTCTGTGTCATATGATCAAATCCACCCGCAGCCTCCCATTGCTTATAATAATTAGGCAGCTGCACACTGCCAACAAGGGTAAAGGTGGTGCGAGAAATTCCAGCCGTGCATTGCATCACTGCTGGTACTGTTATGAGGTTGGATTTGAGCCATGCTTTTGAAAGTGTGGAGCAAGCTTTATACTAGCCAGATGGTGCTGTACCTGCCCTGAGGGTTTTAGATGGCGACAGTGAAGGGAGGGCTTAATCTGCACACCTGCCTTGAAAAAAGCATATTGCTTTTAGTGGAACCTATTATCCATTAAGACGCTAATAGAAAATCTGGATGAATCATATAGTTGGGATGCTATGACACATGTTGAATCAAACTCAGGCCTCCTTTGCTTTAGTTTCTCAAGTGCAACGTCATAATAGCCTATTGGAGGGGTGGGTGGCATGCCTAGTGTAAAACTAAACCAGCAAGGTGCTTGGTTTGATTGCCATTAAGAGTAATTGGTACCAACTCTCTGCATTTGCTCTTGCAGTGCGTGCTCTTGACCCTAGGTTTTCATGAACTGTCGTGGGAGTATACGTCCTCAGAGGACGAGGAGTTGGATGACATCTTGTGGCTGGAATTTGATGGAGAGGAAGGAGGAGCTGTTGTGAACAAGCTTTTGAAGATCTATTCCAAACAGGTACCGAGGAAGTAACAGTCTTCTCATTGTGGAATTTGCTACCACTAAGAGCAGTTAATGCATTGAAGGGGACAGAGGATTAGAAGCGTGTACTGATAGTGAGATGTAGAAATGTGAGAAAGACTTGAGTGGAGTGTCAACACGAGACCAGATGGGTGGAATGACCTTCTGAGGCTGTCCTGTATGGAGGACATACTGTCCAGTGTGCTTGGTCCACATGCTCCATGGCTGCCAAAGGGACAGAAATGAAAAATGATGATAGAGATGGAATTCAAATAATTATATCCCCTGTGCCAGCTGGATTCTATAGCCAGATGATTGTAAAAGTAATTTGCAGTTTATATATTTATGTTGCTTTCTAACTGCGCACACACCTTACTCACCAGGCGTAACATTTGTTTTGTTTTTGGACCTGGCATTACTCTGCCTTTCTTTGCCCTCAACCTGCTTTGAGTTTGAGTCATTTTCTGGTTCTAATTCAGTTTTCCAGCCTTTAGTATGTTTTCTTGACTTTAAAAGGAGTGAAAGTTTGTTTAATTGTTGGAGATTGGGAGGCAAAGGCAATGGAAACATTGCTTAAATGCAAAACAATATCTTGTCCAGTTAAATGACTATTGAGTTCATACTTACTTTTGAAGAACGTGGAACCAGCAGCTGTTATAAGTTTTCATAAGTTTATTCACATTATTTGTATGAAGTGGAGGTGGGCAGAAAGAAGTCGTGCCTGGTTACCCCAAATCAAACAGGATATCCAAGTTAGGTGAAAACATGACCAGGTGTTTTATTGTACAAGACTGACCAGGAAAATGTTTGGTTAGTGCTCACACTCTACTCTACCCAGCCTCATTGTTCCTAGACTAAAAGGCTTGGAGAAATTAGCCAAAGGTTCCTGTTCTGGATTGCTACTTGTGGACTGAGATTTTGACTGTTGAGTGAAATGTGGATGGGCAGTGATTCATCCTGCAGTTGAATAGTCCACCTCCAAAAAAGCCGCTCCCTCGGGGTGAGGATGCAATGAAGTGATGCCTCGGGACTAATGCTTGGTGTATCTATCTAGGCGGAGTTGATGAGTGGAATGATCGATTACTGCATTGACTTCAACAACACCTTCGAGGCGCCACCAGCGCAGGATGCTGTTGCTGCAAAGCCACCGAGACCAAAGGAGAAACGTGGCAAACTGAAGCGGCAGAACAGCGTGGTGTGCAATCGGATCCAGCAGCTGTCAACCATAGACTATGTGGAGGAGGGTAGGTGGCCTGCTTGCTTGTTTTTTGGGTAGCATCTGCTAATTACTGAACAATTAGTGGGTGAGAGTCATGGGCCAAGCTAACTTGCTAATCGGTCAAGGGAGCGTGACCCTCAGCAGAGTCAGCCTTCTCTTTTGTCTTTGCAAATGTTGGCCTTTTCCTGGATGGCCTGAAAATTCTGGGTATGTTTATGTGAGTACTCTGGATGGATGCCATACCATTTCCTGTCATCAGAGGGTGCTGCTGCACTGCACAATGGCTCCACAATCCCGACAGTGCAAATAGAATAATTGCATTGAAAACCAGATTTGTTAATCCAGCAACAATCCAGAAAAAAATTACCCTTCAAATATATGTTGAAAAAACATACAGGAAATGATAGAAACCTAAATGAGTGAGGAAATCAAATAATCCATTCCCCTCTGAGTAAGGTAGGTGATGAATTGGAATAAAAATGTGAAGACTGGCATGTGAAAAGGCAGTCGGAGGGATCTGTGTACTAGTAACCTGTTGCTGCTGGCTGTTAATTCAATTTTCCACTTCTCCGTCATATTCCAAAATTAAATCCTTACGAGGCTGAGAACGTAGCTCCAGTGCTTCAATCTGTTTGGATTGCCAGAAGGCCTTTGACAAATACCGCACAAGAGGTTGCTAGATAAGATTAGAGCCCATTGTGTTAGGGCCAACGTACTGGCATAGATACAAGATTGGCTGACTGGCAAAGGCAGAGTGTGGGGATAAAGGTGTCTTTTACCGATGGGAGTCGGTGACTAGTAGAATTCTGAGAGGGTCAGTGTTAGGACAGCTATTCATGTTATACGTTAACGAGCTGGATGAAGAAAGTTGAGGGCATTGTTGCCAAGTTTACAGATTTCACAAAGGTAGAGAAACAGGTATTGTTGAAAAAACAGGGAGGCTGCAGAAGGATTTGGCGTGGCTGGGAGAGTGGGCAAAGAAGTGGCAGATAGAATATAATGTGGGCAAGTGTGAGGTTATGCACTTTGGTAGGAAGAAGAGAGCTGTAGACTATTTTCTCAATGGAGAAAAGTTTCAGGAATCTGAAGCACAGCGGGACTTGAGTCCTAGTTCAGAATTCTCTTCAGGTTAACATGCTATCAAATGCAGTGTTATCATTCACTTCAAGACGGCTAGAATACAAGAGCAGGGATGTACTCCTGAGGCTATATAAGGCTCTGGTCAGAATGCATTTGAAATATTGTGAGCAGAATTGAGCCCCGTATCTAAGGAAGGATGTGCTGGCCTTGTAGGGGGTCCGGAGGAGGTTTACAAGAATGATCCTGGGAATGAAGGGCTTGACGTATGAGGAGCAGTTGAGGACTCTGGCGATTAGAAGGGGAAGGGGGTATCTGATTGAAACTTACAGAAAACTGAGAGGCCTAGATAGAGTCGATGTGAAGAAGAGGTTTGCCCTAGTAGGAAAGACTGGGACCCAAGGGCACAACCTTCGAGTGAAAGGATGACCCTTTAGAATTGAGAGGAGGAAGAATTTCTTCAGCCAGAGGTTGGTGGATCTGTGGAACGTATTGCCACAGAAGGTTGTGGAGGCCAAGTCATTGAGTGTCTTTAAGTCAAGATAGATAGGTATTTGATTGGCAAGGGAATCATGGATTACGGAGAAGGCAGGAGACTGGCGTTGAGAAACATATCAGCCAAGTTTGAATGGCAGAGCAGAATTGATGGACCAAAAGGCCTAATTATGTTCCTGTATCTTATGGCTGTTTCTAAGTGTAGTCACTGGGTGGAGGGTGCAGAGGATATGCTTCCAGAATTTGGTATAGATTAATGCTGGCATAAAGGGTGAAGTCTCTGTCAATGTATACTGTGGTGTTGTGGACTGGTTCTGAGTAGGAGCTTTTTTCCCCCCAAACTGAGGAATTGTGAATGCCCAAAGGGTTGTGGACCTGACTGCCTGGTCTCTCCCATGGTGATATCACTCCCAGGGTAGCCCTGGAGTGGAGATGCGTTTTGACCATTGTACACGGAGGCCTTCTGTGACCAGTGGGCATTGCAGAGGTTGGAGTACAAACCCCCTCCTGTATTCAAGTTTTCATTTGAAATTTTGTAAGTTTCACGTTGGGATTTGAATTTTGGTAGTCTGTTATACGAACTGTCAGTTACCTATTTTTTTTACATTTATTCAAATAAAGGAAAAAAGACACACCATTTGCTTACAAAGTGAAGTTACAAATATAGAGACTGACTAAAATTGTTTCCAGTACTATTCTTTGTCATTTAGCTGTCTGGCGATGAGCTGTGAGGAAGGAAGTGTATGTAGGTCGGAGTATCCGGAGGCATGGCAGGAAGAGACTGTTTCAAGTGGAACAATGACTAAGGCTACATTGATTTTAAAACGAGGCATTGGCCCGCCTTAACTCCATTGTAAATCCAAACAGCAACAGTTATAGAATAAGCCACCGGTGAAGATGCTTTCAGGTGATCAGAGAAAAAAGGATGCTGAGGCTCATAGAATTGTAAGAGGTGTCAGCTAAGTCTCCATTGCTGCCCTGCAGGATTGTAGTGTCAGACTTTTCAGTACTTTGTGAGAATGGTTCCAGGGATGAGGAGTATTTGTTATGAAGATAGGTTGAAGATGTTAGACCTCTCAAGGCTGAAGGGAATTTTCAAAATCCAGGACCTGCACAGAGTAGATAATAAGAAACTCTTCGTTCTGGTAATAGAATAGTGGAAGTGGTGAAAGCTGGTACAGTAACAACATTTACAAGGCATCTGGATGAGTACACAAATAGGAAGGGTTTAGAGGGATATGAGCCAAATACTGGCAAATGGAACTAGATTAATTTAGGATATCGGGTTGACTTGGACAAGTTGGACTGAAGGGTCTGTTTCTGTGCTGTACAGCTCTATGACTGAAAACAAAAGGACATAGATTTAATCGACAAAAGAAGCAAAAGCTGTGCAAGGGTGAATTTCTTTTTCATGCAGTGAGGGTTTGGTTCTGGAATAGAGTGCCTGTGAGTGTGGTGGAGGTAGATTCAATTAAATCGGAATCAGGCAGTTATTTGAAAAAGAATCATAGAATCCCTACAGTTTAGAAACAGGCCATTCAACCCAACAAGTCCACACCGACCCTCGGACCATCCCACCCAGACTCGTACCCCTACCGTTTCCCTGTAGCCCACCTAATCTACACATCCCTGAGCACTGTGGAACAATTTAGCATGGTCAATCCACCCTAACCTGCACATCTTCGGACTGTGGGAGGAAACCGGAGCACCCGGAGGAAACCCACACAGACACCGGGAGAATGTGCAAACTCCACACAGACAGTCGCCTGAAGGTGGAATCGAACCCGGGTCCTTGGTGCTGTGAGGCAGCAGTGCTAACCACTGAGCCACCGTGCTGCCCCATAAAGGGGGAGAAGGCAGGAGAATGGTACTGAGTAATTTGCTAATTTGGACAGCCAGTACAGCCTTGATGGGCTGAATTGTCTCTTTCTGCACTGTAAGAATTGTGGTCAATTATCACCTAACTAGTTGAGAACAGTAAGGGTGATGTAAATGAACAGTGGCTTTTACTTAAGGTAATCTTCAGACAAATTTATCATTCCCAATCTCTTCCCCACCCCCATGCCAATAAATGTGGCTGTCTTTGAATGCTTGTACTGTAGTCATTGCACTGTATGTTAGCACAGTGACGCACTGTGCCCTTTGTAGCCGCAACTGTTCCTGCATTGAGTGAATAGTGTGTGTCAGGCATTAGGGAAAACAAGTGTGGAAAGGGTCTTATTCATTTACAAGAATCTGTCCAGTGTTGGTGCATTTCCAGGTTTCTGCTGTTAGAGAGCCTCTGTAAGCTGTATTTAGAAAGCTTGTTCCAGTTTCAGGAAAGGGGCATTCCATTATTTCAGCATCTTAATCGGTCTTCTAGTGTTCAAATGATCGCATTTGTAGCCTGCAGCCTCCTGACCTTAAACTCTCCTCCTCCTGTCTCTGTCTCTCCACCATCTCTCCTCACAGCAACCGCACCACCACTACCCCACCTCTCCTTCCTCCAATCCATCCAGCTACCGCTACCGCTACCGCTACCGCTACCACTACCACTACCACTACCGCTACCACTACCGCTACCACTACCACTACCACTACCACTACCACTACCACTACCACTACC